CCCCAGTAACCATTCATAATGTTCTCGGATGTCTCATTTAGACTTACCTTCTCTGCATATGCATGTACACACACACACACACACACACACACACACACACACACCAGATGGCAGATGAGGTAATTCGCCTTTGAAGATTCAAATAAAATTGGCTGAGACCCCATTCCACATGTGGTGGGAAGTCCATGCTTCTCAAGCAATCTTAGAGTTTACAGGGTGGAGAAGGAGGGAGAGGAGGAGGGGGAGGAGGAGGGGGAGGAGGAAGGCAAGTTCTCTAACCCCTTCTGCTTTTCAGCTTCACTTCTTGCCAAATTAGGTCAGGGAGCGATTGCTTTGGTATCCCAAACATAGACATCATAGACATGTTGTATTTTTTTTCCCCTCTTAAACCTCAAATGCAAAAGGCTGGAATTCTTCTTCAGCCCATTGTCTTAGTTAATTTCCTGTTGCTGTGATACAATACCCTGACAGGAGCAGCCTGGGGGAGAAAGGGTTTGTTTTAACTCACAGTTTCAGATTCCAGTCCATCATTGTGGGGAAGTCAAGGCAGCAGGGACCTGAAACATCACATCCACAGTCAAGAACAGGGAACACGATGTTAATGTGCACATGCTTGCTCTCAGCTCACTTGCTCCTTTTTTCTGTAGAGTTCTAGATCCAAAAGTAGGGATGGGTGCCACCCACTTTTAGGCTTGGTCTTTCCACACCAACAACATAATCAAGACAGTCTTTCACAGGCAGACTTGATGTGGACAATCCCTCATTGAGACCCTCTTTTTCAGGTGAGTCTAGATTGTGTCAAATTAAAAATTAAGCTAAACATCACATTCATGGGCCATTGTAGCCAATGATCCCTGCCAAATGTTCCATCTGCCTGTGTCTATCTATCCCCTGTCTACTTGTCCATCCATTCACAGATCCATCCAGACATTGTCTATTCCTTCATGCCATACCATCTGTGGTGATTACTATTAACTGGCAGCCTGACTGGATTTGTAATCGCCATGGGAACACATCTGAATGTGTCTCCAAGAACATTTCCAGAAGTATTTGACGGATCCACTGTAATGGTTTCAATGAGAAATGCCCCCCAGTGTCTTGGGCATGTGACTACTCGGGCCACAGTTGATGGAGCCATTTAGGAGCTTTAGGAGATGTGGCTTTGTCAGAGAAGTGGTAGCACTGAAGGACAACTTTGAAGTTTCAAAAGCCACTCTCAATTTCTGGGTCACTTTCTCTGCTTTCTGTCCACAGTTCAAGATGTGAGCCCTACGCTTCCTGCTCCCGCTGCCATGGCTCCACTCTGTCATCACGGACTCGGACGGCCTCATAGTCACTGTAGGCCTGAGGATGACCTTGAACTTCTGGTGCTCTGTATCCTCTCAAGTGCTTGGCTTGCTAGTGTGTGCCACTACACATGGTGTATGCTGTGCTGGGGGTCGCACTCAGGGCTTTGTGAACGCCTCGAGGGCAAAGTGCCGATTGAGCCACACCTCCGGTTCTCCTTAGTTTTTTAAACACACCCCGTTGGAGGCAGGTATTGGTTCATTCCATTCTGTCCCAGTGATTCATCTCTAGATGATGGTGACAACATTCTAGATAGCATGGGCCCGGGACAAAGGGTCTACACTGAGAAGCCGAACTTTGGAGAGCGGGAGACCTCTGAAAAAACATCTCCTGACTGCATATGTAAGCCGAGGCTGTCATCATGCCTCAGCTGACCACCCTTTCCTCCAGCAGCTGTCCATGTCAGAGAACATTTGGGCCTCGATGACCACATCCCAGCCCTTCACTGTTTACTCAGTAAGACCCTCTTGGGATGTCCCGCCCACCTTTCCTTTCCAAAGCTGTCCTGTCCCAGAGTGAGAAAACTTGTTCAGCTTTTCAGCCTTTGTTTCTTTCTGCTCTCCCTCTGCCAAACTTCTCATCCCCTGGGACACATTCTTCTCTCCTCCAGATCCAGGTTTTTGGGGGAGACACTACCCATTATTCAGACAGGAGAAGGAGGTTGCAAGGGGATTGTGGTCAGCAGCGCTGGGTTCCGTGCCTGAGCAGAGTCTTCCCATTTCCCGTTGCCTCCTGAGGGCCCTCTCATGTGATGCTGGCTGGATAGTCAGCATTTGTCTGTTCCAAGTTCTTTCCCTAAACTGCAGCAGCACAGTTCCTGGTTTAAAAACCACATGTTACGTGGCATGTCTTCCTCCAGTTTCCACAGAACCCAGCCGCAAGCCACCAACAGTGTGTGGGAAAAACAGTCCAGGACGTCTCCTTTTGGCTTGTGCTTTTTCCTGGTGCTTGAGATGGAAGCCGGGGCCTTGTGTGAACTAGGCTGTCACTCTACCACTGAGACACACCACAGTCCCTTAAAGAGGGGTCATTGGAGGGTGTCCCCTGCCACAGCCTCCCTGGGGAGCCCAGGTCCTTTTCTCTGCAATCTTTCCTCTTCGTCCAGAGTCACTCGGCTTGATTCTTATTTTGGTTATTTACAACATGGTCATATAGAAGGAAAATGTGCGGGATGGAACAGAGATAACCATAACTCAAAACCATCGGTGGATAGCATTTAAGAACTTGGGGGCACTTATGCAGATGTTACAAAACGGCCTAGGGTATTGACTTCTGTATGTCACTTTCCCTGTTATTGTCTTATAGTTGTATTTTCTCTGTTCTCATTTTAGACCCTGGAGTCTCTACACTGGCTAATACACTAGTATTTTTACTACCCTTGACTATCACAGGTATAATATATATTTATATTTATTATTTATATTTTTATATAATATATTATTTCCTGTTCTCAGGAGAGTAAATTATACCACAAAAGATCATCTCAAACATGGATTACTCTTTTCCATCCAAACCCTAAGAGACGAACTTACCAAGGTTAAAGCATACGCATGGGTTTATGTGTTTTGGGAAAACACAGCCACAGGAACTTGGGGGACAGGTAGGCTAGGATCATCTTGGCAGGTATGGGGAAATGACCCCCAGACTCTCCCACTTTGCTGAATGCCCCCAGGCCACCACTGCTGTCACCATCACTGGTGAGCTTCTCTCAGCCTGTCTCTGTTTCTCTCCTCCCAGCTGAAGCTGAGCCCAGGGTCTCTTGTTCACCATACTGGCCTTGGACATGGTCGGGATCATAGCATTCCACTGTCTCATCTGACATGGAACATGGCCTCTCATCTCCTCCCAGGCCCATTCTTAGGGACCTTTGACAAGAACCCCTGAGAAGTAGTTTGGAAGATTTATGAGGGCCTGCCCACCATCTGGAGAGGTAGCTGGTCTCAGAAGTTCTCTGGCTGTGTCAGTGGAAACCAGGGCCAGGGAACTTGTCAGGACATCTTCCAGTTCCAGTCCCTGTCATCCTTCAGCATAGTTCCTGGCCCCCACCATGTAGATACAATGGACTCCCTCCTCCCCTCTCTTCTCCAGAACCCAGAAGCTTTTCAAGGCCTTTGACCCTTTCTTAAGCAAGTCACTGAATACAACCTGGATATATGGAGCATGGATGGCATTGTTAGATATACAACAAAGCCATTCCAAGGAAATTCTAGTCCAGTTATCAAGCATCTCTTTGGACCACTTTTGGAAAGCGGCCCTCTTTTTTCAGCTCAACAAGCCGTTAGAGATTCAGCCCAGCTCTCCCTTCCCTGCAGCACAGCCCTGCTCCACCAGATGAAACGAGTCCTGTACGCCCACATTTGCCAAGTTCGCCATCTACTTCTGCATGCCCAGCTTCTAAGACCTGGGCACCAGGTGGTGTCTGGAGGCTATTAACGTGGGCACACAAAAGTCATCTTTGGGAAAAGTTGAAAGGCGAGCTCTGGACTGGTCTCTTTTCCCTCGTGAGCTCCACGCAGGGCTGGTCAGGTCAGTCACTCTCGGGAGTGTGAGTCCCTGGGATCCCTGCATAGTCCAGACGGGTCTCCTTCAAGGGATGTGTGAGAACATGAGGCTCCTCCCGAGGTTGTCAGGAGGGGTGCTCTGAGCATGACTGATCTTGACAGTCTTCAGGCCTCCCAGAAGTCTGGGCCTCTAGACTTAGGGGTGATTTTCTATCCATGTTTTCGGACACAGGTGGTGTTGGAAATGCTCTGGGACTGTGAAAGGTGCCGAGTGTGGGTTCTGACCTGGAGCACTGTGAACATCGAAGAGCAGCTCTGTCGGAAAACAAAAAGCAAAACCAGGGGACTAGCAGAATGCTTTCCATTTCCACAGCATGGAAACCCCTACCAGGGCTGAGTGCAATCCACTGAGGCAGGGTTCCGAAGGGACACTCAGCACCACACCGTTCAATGACAGTCACCTCTCCCATGTGCCCTGTGGGCTTCTGAAGAGATGCGAATGAATGCACATCTACTCCCCTCAGGCACCGTGGGCTGGCTCCACCCCAGCCTAACCTGGTGAACCAGAGTGACTGGGATTACAAACAGGAGGACAGGTGAGGGGTTAGTTACAGCACAGATGACTCCCAAGTAGCGACATCAGTGACGAGTGCTCCCCCAGCGCGGGTGACGACTTCCCATAGCTACCTTGGAGTCCCCTCTGCTTCAGTCAGCCTTCCACCCTTCTCATCCTAGCATCTCCCAAGACCATGTTCTGCTGAGGCACAACTTCATGTAGCTGGGGGACAGATGCAGGAGGGAGCGAATGGCTGGGATCTCAGGTAAGGGTTTAATGACCGACCCCCACCCCCAGCACTCCTTCTATGAGAAACATCAACAAGTCTGATCTTGCCGAGGGTCTAGTGACACCCCAAACCATCCCAGGAGGGATGTCAACAGGCCTGGTCTTATTAAGGGCCTCTTGCCAATATTCATAGGCATTTTGACTGAGACTGTGATTTCTGTCATGCTCAAAAGACAGAATTCCATACAGGATTTATCACCTAAATAACGGATAATGAAATAATTAAAAAGTGCCAAACTTGGAAGGATTTATGGTCTTTATTACTAACTTGTTTAATTACAAATGTACATGGTGTCATTTTAATCATGATTGTGTTTGACACCCATCTCTCCAAATGACGGAAGAAGTCTGGGCCAGCCACAGTGAAGACCATTGCTCTCTGCAGTCAGGACAAACTGTCTTTTCTTGTGTCAGAAACCAGCCAGAACCCAGAGGTGCAGAGGCATTGCCCTAGGAAGGAGTTCCCAGATCGTAGCAACGGGTGTTCTGCAAGCCAAGCAGGAATGGCCTTGGAAGAGGGCAGAGGCCTAGAGACAGTGTTCATGTGGTACATAGGGAATGCCTGGAGGAAGCAGAGTGGCAGAGATTAGACAGGGCTTGGGGCTCTGAAACCCCCAGTCCTGACCCCACGGCTTACTAGCTAGCTGACCAATCCAGACAGACCCCTTATCTGTCCTGATCCTGTTTCCCCACTTGCAGAGTGGCCATAGAGACTCTGTCCATCTCTGGGGACTTTGCTAAGACCAGTGATGACAGTGTGGGACTGTGCCAAATGCAGGCATCACAGTGGCCCAGGAGGCTGTGGCAATGTCTCCTGTCTTTCGGGAGAGCATGGAGTCCCAGCAGTTCTGAGAAACCTGTTTTGGGTTGGAGGGAACTTGGGTTGTGCCTCAGGTGATGGGGACTCAGCTCCTCTGCTGCATTCTGGGGTACTGTAGCCATCGCTCTGTGGCCATCACTATAGGAAAATGCAGTATGAAAGTCAGGGTCCCTTTACATCTGGATTCAGTGAGTTTAGGATATGGTGTGCAATGGGAAGGGCTTAGGACTGTGGGGTCTCTTTAGAGAATTTGAAAACGGAGTTCAACAGTGAAGCCCTCGCCTTTGCTCCCTCCCTCTGAGAAATGGGTTCAAGAGGTGCCTTCCTCCAGGGATGCACTGTGATCTAAAAAGATTAGTTGATTCTCTAGTTTGCTCTGGCCATCAAGGCTGGGCTCATCAGTGCCATGGGTGGAGTGGGGGTCTCAGTGAAAACTGTCATTTCACTGAAAGCATGCCTCCCACCCCTGGACACCGAATCATCAGAGAACAGGAGACTGAAGAAATCGAACTGCCAGCGAAGAATTGTTCCCTAGACAGACATGTGCAAAACAGCTCTGGAGAGCCTAGCTTGTGACTCACAGGCAGCATGCCCCCACACTGCAGCTGTGGGCAGCGCGGCCACCTTATGATTCACATTTTCCACGGTTATCCGGAAAAATGAAAACCATCTGGACACCCCAGGACCCGCTCCGATGGACGCCGGAGCCCACACTGCATTCAGACTGGCATCGAAGCTTCCATGGTCTCTGCTTGCCCAGAGCTGCCTCCCCATCTGTAGCCCTGTCTGCTTTCACCATCACCAAACTCCAGGCCCACTGACCCAGAGGCATCTGCAGAGGACACTAAATGAACACAGAGGTGTCCACCTACAGCGAGGCAGGGTGTCACTTTGGGGTCTTTGAAAATCCTCTCACTTGCTGTTGCTCTAGGCAACTGTCCTCACACCAACCACAGGACTCCATGTGGTGCTTCTTCAATGAGCATTTCGTGTCTGACTTGGGCAGGGGCACTAGGATTCCTCTCTAATTTGGGGTTTTGAATATCGTGCAAGGGAGGGAGAGATGTCCAGAAAGGAAGGGTGTATTGGAAAGTTCCCAGCATCTGCAGTCTTGGGAAAGAAGCTCTCTAGCAGTGTGCAGCTAGCAGTCTGGTTCCTTGTGTATGTGTGTGTAGACCTGTGAAGATATCCCCTAAGATAAGAGAGTACTCAGTGCAGTCTGAAGCCTGGGGACGGGTGCTGTCCTTGCCAGCTGCAGGACCAGACTCCCTGGCTCTGTTTCTACTCCCACATTGCCTGCTTGGCTCAGCTTCCTGGGGACAATAACGGTTCCGTCTAGAGAATGCCTGGAAGCCCGAAGGAGACAGGCTCTGGGGAGCACTCAGACAGACTTGGGGGGCGGGAGAACTGCAGAGGAAGCCTCAGTTATAAAGTCACTACTGTGGGGTTCTGGGCTGTTCCCTGCCCTTTCTGGCTGAGGGTACCTGGAGTGCCCCCTTTCAGCAGCCAGTTTCAATTGCCTTACATCCGTCAACCCTTGAAGGCCAGCATGTGGAGTTTCCATGGCTGTAAGAATCCTCCCATTCTCCTGTTCTTGCAGATAAGCTAAACTCCTAACAGTTACCCACCCGCTCTATGGGCCTCACCCCTATCCCCCTACCTCCTCCCACTCCACTGCTCCACACTCCCGAGGAAGGCTAGGACCCTGTTCTTGGGCACCTCTCCGGGTCTGAGTGGGGTCCTGTCTCTGGAAGACAGCAGAGGCCTGTATGAAGGAGTGCAAGGTTCAGAGGCGAGCCTGGGAGTCCCTTTGCCTGGGTTAGAGTGTAGGCAGAGGATATGGAGGCTGGGGGATGGGCAGCCAGCACAGGGAGGATTCTGAGAGAGGACAGCCTGGCTGCAGTTGGATGCAGAGAGAGGAGTGAGGGGAGGCTGAGGGTGTGTGTGGACAAGAACAGGAATGTCAATCAGTGCTCTGTGAAGCTGCTGAAGGCCCTGTCCTTCCCAGGAGGGCGATCTGTGCTCCACACTGCAGAGAATATCAGTTGAGAACATAATACCATATGGAATGTGCAGGCGGGAGGCGTGTGTGTGTGTGTGTGTGTGTGTGTGTGTGTGTGTTGGAAGTCAGAGGCCAGCACTCACTTCCTTTCTGGAAGCATGACTGGAGGGAAGGAAGGACCATAGCCTGCTGGATGTGCAAGGACTGGAGTTTGTCTGGCTTTGGCGTAGGCCTGGGGCATTTCAGAAGTGTGGTGGGAACGCAGGGCTGAGACTCAAGAACACCCCCTGGCAAAATGCCCCAGGCTTCAGAAAGCAGCCGATGCTCCTGGCCAGACGGGGAACCAGCACCAGACAGTCTTTTCACGAGGTGACCCTTCGTAAGGAAGGAGACCAAGAAAGACTTCTAAGATGTGAAGTAGCCTCCCCCACTTAAGATACTTGAAAGCCACTGCCAAATGGACCACCGCCTTGTGTTTCAAGGCTGCCACCTGGTGGAAGGTTGGGGAATAGCAAATACCTTAAACAAGGCCCATTTCACTCCAGGGGCTCCTCTGACTCTTGACTCACAGTTACATACCCTGCCCTTAAACAGCTTTTCAACTGGAGAAAGAACATCTCTGGGCCTAGCTGACTGACTGGCAAACAGAGAAGGTAACTGACCTACGAAGGTAAATCGCCTCCCTCCAAATTCCTTTGTGTCTCCACAGCACCACTCCAAGCAATGCACAAGACACAAGGCACTTTTGTGTTCAAATCTTGCCCAGCCTTGGACACTGATGTGTGCTTGTGTGTAGGGTGTGGACGATGGCACTTGTCCGCATCACCATGGAGCCTCTGACGACTATCACTTTAGCCTGTCCAACTGCACCATGCTGTGCTCCTGACCCATCAGCTACCAAGACCCACTATTTAGAAGGCCAAATGATATCCCTTCCAATGAAGGTTCTGGAGTGGCATAGATTAGCCAGGAAGGTCATATCAGAGGGAGTGTAGACATGGGAGGCCATGCTGATGCTTCAGGAATGGGTGAGTGACATCCATTGTGAGTAAGCAGACCCTCCAAAAGAATCTGGCTGCCAAAGCTCTAGCTTCAGCCCCAGGAAGCTGGGTTTGGACTTCAGCCTCCAGAACAACAAGATACTGAATCTGCGTGACTTTAGCCCACTGGGCTTGGCATTTGCTTCACTTGGCTTGGACAGTTAATGCAGACACGGTCTCAGGGTCACGGTTCAACAGCTGGATTGACCACAGTGTGCAAGCAAATGACCCGAGACAGCTCAGTGGGTAAAGTACTTGTCACTCCAGCCCAGTGACCTGAGTTTGATGCCCCTGGAGCCCACACAGTGGAAGGAGAGAGCCAACTCCACAAGTTGTCCTCTGACTTCCACGAGAATGCTGTGGTGCAGTGCACTCCCACACCATGTATGCACAGACACAACAATAATAAATGTTATTTAATTAAATTTAAAATTTTTTAATTTAAAATAATGACATTTCCATATCATTTTTTCTATCTGAAACCCACATTTACACATAAATAATATCTGGACTTGGCCGCCCTTGCAAATCTATTTCTCTTCCACCAGAGTTTGAAGATTATTTTGTCACTCTGGCACAGGGGCATGGTTTAAAGAGGTTGCACTGTACTGGAAGACATGAATGAAAGTCTTCTATTTCTAAATAGTAGTTCAACCTGGTATGTCAATCTTTCTGATTGCTGAGTGTCTAGAATTAAAGAAGACTTAGCTCACTGGACCCCAGGCCAAGCAAGCACACTTCTCTCCTTTCTTCTCACTGTGACTAAACCGTAGGATTGGACTCCAGAAAGTCTTCCTGAGGAGTTACAAAGGGGAACTAGAGGTACCCTAGTCAGTCCACTTGTCCAGTGTCACAGCTGGGAATGCTGTTGGGGAGAATATAGAGATTGGAGTCTCAGGTTCCTGAGTTGGCGGCCCTTTTGTCCAAGGCCACGTCACATCTCACTGAATAAAGAACGAATTAGAAGGGAAAGACACTGCGGAAGGACATATAAGGAAAGAAGTATTCTTCAGGAGAGGAGCCTGAGGGTGCTGTGAGATCCTAGAAGCTATGACCCGGGAGACAAGGATCTTGGGAAGGGTATCACTTTGGGCCCCCAAGAACCTGTGAGGCCTCCATCAGTTCCAAGAATCCCTGAGGATCTGGCCAGGCCTCCTGGCTCTGATATGGAAGAAGGTGCCCACCCACTATGGAGGGCAGCAGAGCTAGACCAGCCTTGAGACCCCAACATCCCCAGAGCAAGTTGAGTATTTACAGAAGAAAGAGGATGCTGTCCCCGTCTGTGGCTTTGGGGCCATAATCTACGAGTAGATTCTCTTGTGGTTGACTGATTGATTAACTTCCCAGGACAGAGTCCTGCTGTGGGATGGTCTGTATGTCAAATGTGTTGCTGATTGGTCAATAAATAAATCACTGATTGGCCATTGGCCAGGCAGGAAGTATAGGTGGGACAAGGAGGAGAATAAAGCTGGGAAGTGGAAGGCTGAGTTGGAGACATTGCCAGCCGCCATGATGAGAAACAGCATGTGAAGATGCCAGTAAGCCACGAGCCATGTGGCAAGGTATAGATTAATGGAAATGGATTAATTTAAGCTGTAAGAACAGTTAGCAAGAAGCCTGCCACGGCCATACAGTTTGTAACCAATATAAGTCTCTGTGTTTACTTGGTCGGGTCTGAGCGGCTTGGGACTGGCAGGTGA